AACGTTCTTCCAGGTGTGCAACCATTCTCATCTTTTCCTGAGTTATTCCTCTTCTATTAGCATAAACTAAGGTTCTTTGTTTTGGGGGGGGGGGTGTGGTATGCCAATTTTATGCCAACTTGAAGATGCATAAAAATATTGGGGTGGTATTCAACCTGTCAATCAAGTCACAGCCTGATGGCACTTCCTTGGGGGTGTGGCCTTTTAACTGTAAGCCTCTCTTCCGTCCCTCCCACCCACTTTACCGCCTTCCTGCCTACCAGGAATAAGTCACTGACCCTGGGAGTTGCAATAGTCCTTCCATGCTACCACTAACCATGGATCCACAGGACTCTGCATTCACCAGCCCTGGATCTCCCTGTATTCTGCACCACTGCATATAGCTGTTTGAGTTCGAAGAGTCTCAGCTTATGGGATTGAGTTGAACTGAGTTGGGATGCTTTACTGATATATAATTACTTCTTTACATAAAATTATTTCTTATACATAGATGAATATCACTGGATTTGCTTCTCTAGCCAACCCTGCCTAACACACATGGAAAGCAAACTAGTTTTCTAATCAATGATTCACACAAACTTCTGTGACATTGATTATAATCCCTGCAATGTGTCAACATTCTCAACATTTCCTCCCTGGGTTCCCTATTTCCATTTATACAATATCCTGGTCCCCTCCCTGACTTCTAAGCATTGGTTTTGGGCAAATGTTTTCTTGCTGGTCTCATACAGTTGATAGTTCTAAGGAGCATGTTCTTCACAGACATTATTCATTTTATAGGTTCGCCTGCTATTTAACTGATAGGTAAAATCTGGGAGTGTATTGATTTTCTAGCAGAAGGTTGTCTTGGGGCAATAGTCTTGGGGGTTCCTTTAATGTCCTTCAGATCTGGTCTTTATTTTTGAATTTGAATTTTGCTGTACACTTTCCCCGTGTCTGTCTACTGTTATCATGCAGGGGTAGTAGCATTAGTGGGTAACATCTAGCTCTTTTGGTCTCATGCTAGAGGAACCTAATCACTTCTTCAGTCTTCAGATTTCTTCATTCTCCTCTGCTTTAGGCACGAAGAGATTAATACTCAATTTTTACGATAATACTAATTAACAAGCTTTTAAGACTCTAGATCAGTGCTTCTCAACCTGTGGGTCACGACCCCTCTGGGGTCCAAACAACCCTTTCACAGGGGTCGCTAAGACCATCGGAAAGCACATTTTAATGGTTTTAGAAACTGAGACACCGCTCCTCTCTCCGTCTCCAGGTGGGTCTGCCCACATGCAGATACGGACACATACGAATACCTGGTGTGAAGACTGTTACCCAATCTACACCACGCTTCAAGACAAAATTTGTAATTAGAAATAAATTCTATAATTCACAATATATAATTACATATTGTTTTGTGATTGATCACTATGCTGTATGTTCAATTTGTAACAATGAAAATATACCCTGCATATGAGATATTTACATTACAATTCATAACAGTAGCAAAATTATTTATGAAGTAGCAACGAAAATAATTTTATGCTTGGGGGTCACAACATGGATAACTGTGTTAAAGGGTCGTGGCATTAGGAAGGCTGAGAACCACTGCTCTAGATGCTACTCATCAAAGTAGTATATGAATAGAATTGGTTTTTTTTTAAACTGCTTTGCCCATGGATATAGATGTCCCTCAAGACTATGATCCTTAGCCCTAAAGTCAAATAAGTCAATCCTGATGTCTAATGAGTTTCTGTAACTGTGCCCTGATGAACTCTAATATAGATATGAGTGTTCATGCAGCATCTACAAATATGTGTATAGAAATATCCTTAAACGTACTTACATATGTATACAGGCATGTTCCTGTATGGCCTCCATAGTTTATTTAACACACGTTAACGTGCATCTACTCAGAAATTATTTTTTGTTATTACTGCTATTCTAAGATTGCTTATGTTATAGTATTTATGTAATTATCATTTATGCATACTTCTCGTGGTTTTGTCATTGCCAAAAATTCTTCCCCCAGTATCTGGGTTTTCTTTTTACTCTACTGATGGTGAATTTTTTTGAAAAGCATAGGTATTTAATTTTTAGAGGGTGCCAGCTATGTATTTTTATTATGTTTAATGGGTTATTTTTGGCATACATCGGTTTATTCCCTAGGGTTGCCCCTTACGCTTTCATTTATAAATTTTATAGTTTTAGGCTTTTTAGGTCTTTAATAAATTTTGAGTGTTTTTCTTCATAGTGAGATATATGGATCTTGTTTTCACTTTTCTACAATTGGATATACAGTTGTGACAGCATCATTCATGAAATAAACCTTCTTCCCCATTCAATGGATTTGGTGGCCTTGGTCTATAAGTGGGTGGATTCATTTCTGGGATTTAATTCTGTTCCATGACTATATAGTAGCTTCTGAGATCAAGAAGTGTGAGGTCTCTTATTTTGCTCTTCAATAGTGTTTTACTTTTGCAGGATGACCTCTTTGCTTTCCATATAAAGTTGGTGATTAATTTTTTTATATCGATAAAACCTGCTATAGAAATTTGGTTCAGAATTGTATAATACACGGAAAACTTTTGAAGTTTGGGGAAAAAAGAATAAAAATACAAATATTTCTCAACATAAGCTCCACAAGTATAAGAGATTTTTTGGTAAGTGATAATACCAGCCACATAGCCTATCTCTAAAATATTGAGGGTCCTGGTAATTTAACCATGTCAATGTAGTGTCAATGTAGTCTTTTTTACACTATTAAATGAAGCAAACTAAGTGTCCTTTAAAGGTTTTTTTAAGATTAGCAAATAAAAAGAAAACCAAAAGGAACTCAATAAGGATTATAAGGTGCGTGTCTAATGATTTCTGAACAAAACTCTTTCCAAGTTGCCCTTGTTTGATAAGAACAGCAGTTCTCAACCTGTGGGGCGCGACCCCTTTGGGAGTCAAACGACCCTTTCACAGGGGTCACCCGATTCATAACAGTAGCAAAATGACGGTTATGAAGTAACAATGAAAATAACTTTATGGTTGAGCGTCACCACATGAGGAACTGCATTACAGCATCACAGCTTTAGGAAGGCTGAGAACTGGATAAGAGAACTCTCCAGTGAAGCTTTCCCTGTGTTTCCTGCTAAACCTTCGGCTAATTTCCCTGAACACTCTTATAATAAGCAGCTGTTACTCTTCTTTGTCCTTCCAGAAAGTCAACAAGGAAAATGCCTTCGGTAGCTTGAAAACTGTTGCCAGGATATCTGCATGACGGGTCTGCGTTAGACTGACCACTTCCACTTCTGCACAGCCATTGCTGTGTGCTTTGTCTTCAGGATCATATTGGAAAGCCATATTTCGTGTTATAATTCTTTAAAGAAATGCTTCGTGATCTTGATCCCTTTGTTTCAAAGTGAGGTTCCATGATCTTCATCCCATTTGCTTAAATTTTCCATTGAAAACTCTATTCTTGTTGGAAGATGATGAAGGCACAACACTTTTAGTACCTATCAGGTAGAAAGTGTGCTTAATTTTATTGTTCAGTCAAAATTGTGTAAGATGAACATACTGAATGTGTACGGTATTATCTATTGTTTCTACTGCTGATCTTTGATCTTCTTCAATTAGGACACAAACAAGATATTCTGATAATTTGATATGGATGATCTGCTGTTCCTTAAAACGTATTATCCATGTGTAAAAGCATCACTCCAATTTCTGATTTCAACTACACATCTACTGTTTCCCTGAGTGTCTGTGTCTGTATCCTTGTCTGTCTCCTTTAAGGACTCATTTATTGAATGGGTCCACTCTGATTCAGTATGGTTTCACCTCAGCCCTTAGCATAATTACATCTGCAAAAGCCTGTCTCTAAGTCAAATTCTCAGGTTCCAGGAATACACAACTTTGGGGGGGGTAATGATTCCCGCAATTATACCTGGTCATTAGAAATTTATTTTCAATTCTGGTAGATACTGTCACCATCAGGAATGTCACCATTTTAGGGAGTAGACTTATAAGAATAATTTCATTAACTTGGTGCCTTATTTTTTTACAAAACCTTTTAATAGGAACACAGATTATCATATCATTCCATAGAGTTCATTCAATCACAACAAGCAGTATTGTTGTACACTGATACGACTGTCCCTTATTTTTAATGGATGCACCAATGAAAAGTATGACAATTCCCTGCTTACATCACTGTGTGCTTTACCCTCCAACTTGATAGCTCATGGTGTCTTGTGGACTTGTGATAATAGCCCATAGCTAATCTTTCTGTCAAACTGAAGTGATGCTTCTCAAATGTTATCCCTGAATATCTTAGCACCAGCAAGGAAGGCTATGGGCAAGGTCACTCCTGAGCTAAATGGAAAGCTCTTTAAGCCAGCCTTCCACACACCACTCCCAGCAAGACCATGGATCTGACCTGCTGTCAACAACGAGCTCTAAATGGCAACCTGGGCTACACAGAAATTAGCCTCACTACTGAGAATTTCATAGTGTTACTAACTCCTCCGCTTTTAATGCTGAAGCTGCCTGCCTCAATCATCACATTGTCAAGTTCATTTCCTGGAATGACACCTGATTTTGCTAGAGCAACTATATGGAGGGCCTAAGAGTCCATAAAATGAATTAAGGTGTAAAAATAGAATAAAAGAAAAATAAAAAGGTGTAAAAGTCTTAGATTTCAACCCAATAATAGCATGAAAACAACTGAGAAGACCTCGTTGCTAGGGAATCAGAGCCCAAATGTATACTGCAATGCAATGAGAGGCTCTCATCTTAAACAGAGTTTGTTTGTTTTTTTCCCTAAAGAAAGTTTTGAAAGCCCTGCTTTGTCATCTGTCATCAGTACCAACAATAAAATCTTCCCTATCCAGTGAAGAGTTAAGGCCAGGTAAGGGTTTGACTTTAATAATCAATGATAGTGAATTATAATTAGACTCCCACATGATGGACATAGAACAGACACATGGTTCAGTAAATTTAACTCTTACAAGTTATAGCATATTTCATACCTGTATATTCAGAAAATGGCTTATGTATTACTCCAAGCACAGGTTTACCATTTACAGCTACACACACCATAGTAGTGACATATTTTCGAAGGTCCTCTGAAAACAAAACAAAAATACCTCATGACTGTCAAAGTAACTGTGTTAGGCAGGGTTCTCTAGAGATATAAAACCAAATTGCTGATAATTTAATATATTTATTTATAAAGATAAGTAGATATAGAACAAGGAATGAACTGTTAAATCATATACAGTTAAATATATAATACAAGAAAGAAACAGTTAAATTATAAAACACTACAAATGGCTCAATTCAATTCACTGCCGTGAGAGACTAGCAGTCCTTCCAGTCCGATCTGCTGCCAGATCTTCCTCTATTTAGAGAGAGAGCTAGGCTATGTCAGCACAGCAGCCAATCAGAAGGTAGGTCACCAACTGCCAGCCAGGTCACCAACTGCCAGTCCCCAGCTCCAGCGATGTCTTAAAGGGACCTCAACTTACAGCGACACAGTCCACAGGCTAGGGGTCCCACAGGTAGTGTAGCCTTTAAATTGAGGCACAGGACAAGCAAGGCAGCCGCACACTGGTCCGATGATCAAAGAGTGAGAGACAAGAAAGGCGAGACTCACCAAGGCATTTATCTCTCTGCCCTTCAGTTAATCCCACTTGTGTTTATCGGCCAGGCTGGCACAATAAACTATTTCAGTAACAAATTCAGAGTGCCATGACTTATTTTTTTATTAACAATTATTTAGATGTAACTTAGATCATAGTCTCCCTAAGCATGGATAAGACTCCACTGACTGAAGGCAAGTTTAAGAGAGCAATGAAGAAAGTAACTTTGTTTTGCTATTTACTTGCTTTCTAGTTGCCTGAGGATTCACTATTTTAAATTCCAAGGTCAAAGATTTATGCAATAAAACTAAAAACTCTAAATATCCCAAGTCAATATTATATTATATTCTGGCTAAATATATTTCCTTAATAAATGGGTGTCAATTGGCAACCTTTTTAAAGTTACAGTTGAAAATTTCCATTCCTTGAAGAATCAGTGACAGAATTGGCTACTGTCATTCACCAAAGTCCACTGTAATACAGTGAATTGAGGGAAAGAAAAAGAGCAATAATCATTCCAGTTCAAGTATTTCATATCCCACTGTTAAACTAGCTAATTTAAAACTAGTTGGAAAAGAAGTTTTGAATTTTCTCCAATACCCATGGCAAGCTAAGTTTGAGATGAATGTTTTAAATTACCTGTGTACTCTTGAGTAGCATCAAGTGGGTCAATCCAGACAGTAACACTTTCTGCTGGCACTTCTTTAGGGGTAGTGATTTCCCTCAGGATATCTTCAGGAATATTATGATCCCATAAGATAATCTCCTGATCAGCTGCATCCACATGTTCCTCAGTATTTATCTGCATAAAATATAGTAGTTAAAAATTTTAAAACCAAGGGAAAAACTACCAGCTGAGGAAGCACACACAGAAAAAAACATTTCACATGAAATAACAAAAATTCCCTTTTTTCATTTTGAGGCAATTTTTTTTTCTTTTTTTGAAAAAAAATGAAAATATGTTACAAAGGAAATCGCTGACTTCCACAGCAAAATAGGCAGAGACATTACCCAGACTCTCTAAACCAAACACCCCAAACCAAGTGGCACATATATGGATGTTAATCCTGGAACTGAGTTTTAGAGAAAAGGATAGAGAAATGGATTGAATACCAAACTAGTAGTTGAACAAAAGCAAGAAAAGAGATCACACAGGTAAAATGCTGGCTAACATGATGCTACACAGTCACCTTGAACTTTTGCAAGCAGCATTTGATAGAAAAGCATGTGGACAAGACAGGTGGAATGTTCCCTTATTCCCTATACCATACTGGTGACCAGAGCATGGCCAACCTCCCACCTCCATTGGCTGTAAACCCCCAATCTCTATGCAGCCCTTGATCTGTCTGAAGTCAGAGCCATATCCCTATGGGTCAGGCACTGAGTGCACCATCCTCATGTCTCTAGGCACATCAAGTCTGCTTCCTTAGACCAGAGAATAGGAAAGACTGGGTCCTCCTCTACATGGGTAAGAACTCCTTCTATAACCTTGCCCACAACTTCTCCCTGAGCCTGAAAGATTTCTGCCAAGGAGGAGGACATGAACTCAGCCACAAAGGGAGCCAGCAGGAAGTATTTCTGGATCAAGTCTTCATCATGTTGGAAATCCATCATGTTCCTCCTGTCTCATTGCCACATGAGCCTCTTGGAAGACGGTAACGCTCTATACTGGATATTCTGCCCTTGCTCCGTTTCCTCCTTACTTTTCTGTTCATCTTTGACTTCTTTCTTTCTCTGCTTTCCCTATTTTCTTTATTTTCATTTGTTTTCCTTTTCACTTTACATATTTACTTTTTTGTATCTTAAAAAAATACTAATTTTATTGTCATATACTTCAGATATCACCCAGTTTACCAAAGATTTGTGAAGACAAAATCAATGTCAGCACATTTTCTTCTCCTACGCATTGTTAGTTCACTCTTTCTATCCATCCTCCCCTACCACAACCCTATATATTAATACTTACTGTCTATAGATTTACCTATCCTGAGTTTTTATACATAAATCACACAAAACTCAAATAGGCAGCAAACAAACAAAAATGAGTAGACAAAACAGAAAAATCTCAACCAAAAAGGAAGCAGAATATTAAAACTGGAAACAACTTTAAAATGGGTTCAAAGGAAGATCAAATTATTAACTACATCAGTCCTAATCGAGGTTACAATGCTACCTCTGATTGCAAGGCTATTTGCATGCCTGATCTATGTTCAAGGGGAGTCACCACATGCTTAAGCCATGCATGGATCCTGAAAATGGATTTGGGGCTTTGGCTGTCATCCACAGCCTTTTGCAAACCAAGTATTTACAATTTAACCTCTGATACTATCCCCACCTCCAGAGGATCTTATTTATAATCTTTAGATCACACAGGTTGGTGGACTTGACAACTCACTAAGAGGGATACTTATTTTAGGACAAGGCTCTAACACCCCAGATGTTATTCTTTCTTATAGCCAGGCACCATCTGGTTTCTTCACCATACTTTTCTATAGCACCCATATCTTCACTGATCTCTTCATGAGGGCAAGTGTCAAGTAAGACCATATCATAACAAAGTGTTCTGAAATTGGAGCTAGAATTATGTATGAGCCCAAATACATTCATATACATATGGTTCATATATGTCTCTGTGTTAGTCTGGGTAGACTAGTGTGTTTGACAGGGTTCTCTAGAGAAACAAAACCAGGACACTTATGATTATAGATATAATATGCTTATGATTATACATATAGATATGATTGATTATAGATATATACAACATAAGAAATAAACAGCTAATTCATTCACAGAGCAGTACAATTGGCTCAGTTCAACTCACTTCCATGAGACAGTTAATACAATGGCAGTCCTTCCACTCACAAAGACTGCTGTATGCAAGTCAAGGAAGCGGACAGCTGAGTCTTCTGAAGAACAATACAGGCAGACCGGCCACAGGCAGCAAACAGCAGGCCAGGTCACCAACAGTCAGCCAGATGACAGGATCTGGCAGTCCCCAGCTCAAGTGAGGTATACACCAGCAGTGTAGTGAAGCAAGTCTTGAAGGAACCTCAAACTATAACGACACAGTCCACGGGTTGGGTGTCCCACAGGTAATGTAGCTCACAAGTTGAGGCAGAGAACTAGCTGAGGTAGCGGCACACTGGTCCAATCATCAAAGAGCAAGAGACAGAAAGGCAAGGCTCGCCAAGCCACATATCTCTTTGCCCTTCAATTAAACTGCAACCTTATTAACCTCACGTGTTTACTGGGCACCAGGTTTGCACAATAACCCTACCTATCACAACTAGAGAAACAAATTCATAGACACTTACATGTGTACAAGAAAGAGCTTTATCAAGCGACCATCTAGCTCAGAAGCAACAAAGCCCACATGGAAGAAGCACACCAGCCTGTGCAATCACAAGGTGTCAAAGGGATCAGGTATCAGGCATCATCAGAAAAAAAATCATATCATTGTGAATGATGGGGAGTGCGGAGTGAAGTCCCAAAGCCCATCTGTAGGCAATTGGGCATCCCCTTACGGAAGGGTCGCAGGGAGAAGAGCCAGTCAGGGTGCAGTGTAGCAATGGTGAAACGTACAACTTTCCTCTAGTTCCTAAATGCTTCCTCCCCACCACCACTATAATGATCCCAATTCTGGCTAGATCAAAGGATGTACACTGGTACAAATAGGAACTGGAAACAAAGGGAATCCAGGACGGATGATCCCTTCATGACCAGTGGTGAGAGTGGCGATACCGGGAGAGTGGTATGGAAAGGAGAAACCAATCATTGCATCACCATAATTCCCCACTACTATCAAAGTTATAAGCTCCCTATCCACCATAATAAAATAAACAGACATACAAATAATTGCTAAGGTCAAAATATATTCCACATCCAGTCAGTATGCCCTAGAAATTCTATCCCCCAATTCTAAATATGTGGTTTCATGATTACCAAGGAAATCCTAGTTAAGTCATAGTATCTCACTTGACTCCTGCAGTGATCTTCTGTGGGAAAATTCCACAACTGGATAGGTCCTAAGGAACAGCAGCTGTGTAATTGAAGGGAATAATTAACCACACAGCAGACAAAGCATGCAAAGGGCTCACTACTTCCATGGTAGTAGGAACCAGAGAGAGCGAGCTAATATATTCTTTCACAGCCTTATATATTCTTAGGGCATGCAATCCTCATTAACTACCTACGTAACAAGGTGGGCAGTATCTTAACCACAGATTGGGGGAGAAACCTATATCTCATAATGGGGACCTGCAGAGGGGAGTTGACTGCCACTTGAGCAAGGAGAACAAAAGACACGTCTGCTTCTATAGCAATGAGGGGGTTCCAAAAAAAGGGGGAAAGCTCCACCCATACAGTTTTCCTGCTAAGGGAGCAGCAAGCAACCTGCTCCTACTTAGTGCACCCAGTGGCGTCGCCTGGGAAGGTTCTCTCTGGTCACAGTGAATTTGTTGGAAAAGCAGTTTCACTCAAACTCTGTTTTTTTGTGGTTGCCGATTTAAGGGAACAGCATGCAGCTGTGAAATTTTGTTTCCTGCTCAGGGAAAAAACGACACAGATACTGTTGTGATGTTGAACACACCTTACAAGGACAGCACCATGGGAAAAACTCAAGTGTATGAGTTGTTTTCTTGTTTCAAAAAAGGTGAAATATCAATTGATAACAAACCCTGTTCTGCATGTCCATCAACTTCCCAAACGGATGAAAATGTCGACTTGTAGTGCATTTGGAGTTCATTCCACCAGGTCAGACTGTTAATCGAGCTTTCTATTTACAGGTTCTGAAAAGATAGCAATAACAGTATGTACAAAAAAGATCTGATTCTGAGGCCTGGAGGGTGAAGGGAATGTGGGGTAGAAGGGGGGAGCCAATTACAAGAATCTAAGTATAGCCTCCTCCCTGGGGGATGGATGGCAGAGAAGAGGGCGGAGGGAGACGTCGGACGGTGTAACTTATGACAAAACTATAATAATTTAGGAATTATGGAGGGTTCAGGAGGGAGGTAGGAGGGGAGAGGGAGGGGGGAAATGAACAAATGATATTGAGGGCTAAATTAGAGGGCAAATGTTTTGAGATTAATGAGGGCAACAGGTGTACATATGTGCCTGACTCAATGGATGGATGTATGGACTGTGATAAGAATTGTACGAGCCCTCAATACAATAAAATAATTTTTAAAAAGAAAGAATATTGAGGGTAACAAATGTACAAATGTGCTTTATACAATTGATGTATGTATGGATTGTGATGAGTTGTATGAGCCCCCAATAAAATGACTTAAAAAAAAAAAAGATCTGATTTGTGGCAGACAGGGAACTGGTTTTGCCACCACAACAATGCACCTGCTCACACAGCCATCTCAGTGTGCCAGTTTTTGGCAAAAAGAAAAACAGCATGCCTCTCTTGCCCCATGCACTTTACTCACCTGACCTCACTCCATGGGACTTATTTTTGTTTCTGCAAATGAAGAGGGACATGAAAGGTCTTGTTCGGGGTTCTGTTTTCTGGACAGAACAAAGTAGGTGCACAAAAAATGTATCTTCAATGACAAAACTATTACGAGCCACTGTGGGTTTTCATTGCTTCTAAAAACTCTCTTCAACTCAATCTGCTCTCCCTCCCACATCTGTGACACAGACCACACCAGGGAACTCCGCATAAAAACGTTACTGTCAAGCTCAGAAAAGGCCCATTCATGCAGAGCACAGCCCTAGCCAAGACCACCTGTGGTAACCCACTCTCAAAAAGCCCAGAATAGAAGTGAAAAGGCAGCCTTAGAGGACTTATGTTCTTAG